AATCTTTACACCATGCCCATCGCTGTGCGCTAGCTTAAAAGCAGATTCTCAAAATTGAGATCAAGTTTTATCAAACATGATGTAAACCAAGCTGAAGTTTTTAGATTGGTTTGTGTTTTTGTATTTTACATGAAATTCCTTTTTATCAAAACAAAAACAAAAAAACTCAAAGCACTAACTGTTTTTTGTTTTCTTCCCTGCCACACTTGCCACGCATGTCCTCACACTTTGATGAGGACATGCTTACTGCTTTGTTATTCAGTGTGGATTTAAAGTTTGCAGCTCTGTTGTTAGCGAGTTTGTTGACTAGCCTTACCTTGTCACTGAGATCCATGCTGGTGGCTGAGTAAGCTATCTGTGGGATGTTGAAGAGCTGGAGGAGATTTTGCACCTGGATGGCCACAGAGCTGGAACCTGGTCCAATAAGTCCCACAATAGGCTTCTTCCCCTGAAGAAGCATGCTCCCTCCTTCTGCCGTGCATCTGCCCTGGCTCTCCTCCTCGTCGCTGGACACTAGTGTGTCCCGAATAAACTCAATACTCTGTTCCAGTGCCACGGCAGAGTGCCAGCACGAATCCCTGGTGTAGAAAGACTGAGTTAGCAATCACACTGTTTTGGCAGGAATTATGGGAACATGAGGTGAGGATTGTACAGTCTGTGCTTCAGTGATTTTGAGGAAACCACTACACAAAGACAATTTCAAAATTCCTCAGAAGTCTGGAATTCAATGTTTAGGAAGTCTGCGCTAATCAGAGCAGATCAGTGTCTTTTAAGGTCTTTATAGTACAAAATCCCCACTTTGTTTTCCATGAGCTGTGTCAGGAAACACAAGCAGGTCATCACAAGCAGGCTTGCTGATGACTTCAAAATGTTGCTTTTAAATACTGCATTTACTTCAAAAGAAACTACAGTCTACCCTTACCTGTCATGCTGCTTTTGTGGCTTAATTCCTCCAGCTACGGTTCACTTGCTTGCACTCAGCCATCTTCAGAGTCTATTTGAAAGTTTGCTTGGTTCTCCTCTGATGCCTATAAACATCTCGACCATGTACTTTGATACTGCCTATTCATTTAAAGCAACCAAAGTTTAGAAGCCTTCTTAAAATATCTTTCTGTGTTTAATATAATATTATACTTTATCTCATAATGAACCAGTCTGTAAGCCAAACCATCAGTTGAATAAAAATTCTTCATTGTGTAAATATTGTGTAAGGCTGACAACAATGTCCTGCTAAAACAAAAGGACAACACAGTGAGCTCTGTCAGTGCTGACCTGATCTCGCAGCCCAGGCTGATGTTGGGAAGGATGGTGGGGTCTGCATTAATTCGGTCCAGAGTGTGCATCATGGCTTCCACTCTCTGGATCCCGTACTGCTCACGGACCGCACCACACTTTCGCTCATGGACCTGATCAGCACAGATGGATCATTTACATTTGTGACACTAACCCCCTTAACGCCTAGTGTATGTGATTTCCCCCTTTTTTATCAATAAATTGCAAACAAAAAAATAACAAATGCACGATGGAGCAAATATGATACAAATTAAAACTCATATATGCAAATATTAATATTTTATTTGTTTTAATTGTCAGAAGGTTCAATAACCACTCCTGTTTTGCAAAATTTAAATTTTCTGGCGTTTATTTTATGACTCAGACTTTAAAGGGTTACACTGAGATGTGTGCAAGCATATGCACATAAACACATCAAAATGTACCTTATCTGCAGGTGGTTGGTGGTGGACAGAGAACAGAGCTCCTATGATGATATCACCAGGGATATGTGCCAATACCCTTCTCTCGTTGTTCTGGGCATTGACCCCAACCTGGTCTTTCAAGCCCAGCCAGCTCACATCAGTTCCCAGCAGCACAGCCACCGCTAACAGCCGCACATTCAACTTCAGGATGTGTCCCATCCCCGTGGTCCTCGTTACACCTCCCGCCATCTTCTGACCACTTATAGCTGAGGTTCAGCTGAGGATTTTGCGTTTGGCTTTGTGCTTGCAGAGCCAAGGGCAAGGGTTGGATTCCTGAGCAAAAGCATTATAGAATTATTTTAAAACATAAAAGTTCAGACAGCATTTTTAGGTACGATGAAAATGAAAAATGTTTTCACTTTTTCTATGACATCCAGTTGCTGTCTGTGGTGCTGAAACGCCAATGCATCGTGTAACTTGGGTAAAACTGACATAGAGCCAGGTGTTTCAGTGGAGTACTACAACCTACTTAAAACTCGGAAATCTCCTCTGCTTTAATAATTCATCAACAGCCACAGAGTGCTTCGCATAAGCAAACTAAAAGATAGCTTCAGCCTACCTTATTTCTGCCCGTGCAGATGATATTCCTTCCGAGATCGTTTCCATCACCAAGGAGCAATTTTTAACAAATAAAAAGCGCGGCGCACTGCCTGGTTACAGCACACTGCAAATAGCAGCAGATAATGCCCGTTATTGGAACATGCTTGACTTACTGACGCACACGACAGCCCCCCCTCCTACTCCTTTACCTCCTCCTCCTCCACCAAAACAGTGGAAAGCATGGAGCAACAACAGAAGGTATAACGATGGAATTCTTCTACAGGGGAGCTACTTAGACGCACTATTAAAAGACAAAAACAAACGTGTGGAAGGGGGGGAGGGGTGAATGAAGGGAAAACAGAGGTGGGAGATCATTCGCGTGCCTTCCTTTTTTATTTGTTACCACCTTTTGATGAAATCTGCATAACTAGACGGCCCCCGCTCATTTGAATTTTTAACAGTTCATTTCCTCTGATTATATAAAAAGAAGTTTTAATAATTGTGTTTTGAGCCCATTCACAAATCACCATCTCAAAAATACTTTACTTATATTTGAAATTTAAATTCGTCATTCCAAAATCAGACCTGGCTGGAGTTTGGACTGCATGGAAAATGACAGTATCCACAAGAGAAGAGGAGATGAACTGATTGTTTCTTGGAATTCAACTGCAACTTTTTCCCTCTCTTGCTTTAGGGCAGAATTTTAAATCACAGGTCTTATTTCTACAAAACTGACACCTCTCTCTGTTTCGCTGCATTTCTTTTAATGACATTCTGTTTTCGGAATAATAAAAAGGGAAGAAAGAAAGAAAAAATAAACCTGTGGCGTTACCATGCAAACCAGCCTGCAATCTCAATGTTGGAAGTAGAATCCAAGACATCCCACAACTTGTGTGTTGATCATTTTCACCTCAACAAAAAGGGCGTTTAATGTGCTGTTTTTGATCATCTTCATCATCTGCATCTGAAAATAGGGGGAAACGTATAAGAACGGTGGGATTCCCTAACTTGCTTAGGGAATATAAATGTGAAAAAATAGTCACAGATTTGTTTGATTTAGTTACTTGAACGCAACACCAAGCTTTAAGAGACCACACTTTAGCTATTCACCTTAAAAAAAAAACACAAGCCACGACGTCAGAAGCCAAAGGAACAGATTTTGATGAGAAGATATTTTGCAAAATTCCATCTGAGCAATCAAAATCCAGAAATGAACGCTCTCATATGTGTACACAGGCAAATATAGAAGCTAACCTGTTCGCTGGTGTCCGATTTTGGTGTTTTCCTGTACATAAAGACAATTACATCATAAACTGGTAACCTAAACGTGCAAATTAAAAATAACCAGATTGCAGGAAATTAAGTCTTTGATGCTCAAAATTATCCGGGGGAGGATTTCCCCGGATAATTCTGAAAGCCGTGTAAATTTGTCCACCCCCATTTAATGTCGCATCTAATGCACAAATGAAACCTATGCACACATATATCTAAGTAACTTGCAAGTCACAATCACCTATTTACATCTTAGTAATTTCACCAAAATATGGGTGCATTTTCTACAATGTGTCAGTGAACTCGAAAAGAGTATCTGTTCCTGAGCTGAGGCTTATTTGTTGCCTTGGGAGACGGGGGTGAAAAAAAGGTAGGCCCAGTGAACGAGTAAGACGATATTTATGGCTACGTAACGCCCTCTGGTGGGAACTCGCTTGTCGACAAGGGTAATGTCCCAATCCCGTGAACATCACATGAAAATTTTTCCGCAAAGTGAAAAAGTTGAACTTTCCAGTGAAGTTGAGATAGCGGTGGAGATAACACAACAAACATTTACCGCTTCTACTGAAAGAGCACAATAAAGCTTTCTATAATATTACCACAATAAAGCTATTGCTTATGGCAGTTATCTTATCAGCTCGTCATATGAAGTCTCCTGTGTTGTGCACAATGGATCGTGACACCGGGTTCAGAATCATACGACCACAGATATTAAACGGTAAAAAATCCACAGGGGACTTTTTGGAGAATGCTTGGTTACACAACAGTCTACATATAAATAGCCTATACCACATACTAAAGTAGGAGGTCTGTTTTAAAAAAAAAAATCATATATGCAATGAAAATGTTCATCTTTAGTGCATAATTTGAAGTTATTGGGTTATTTAGCAGTTATTACTCACTGATTTTCATTCATGTCACAAAAAGGAGAGAAAAGACAACATGAAAGCAGATAAAAATATGAAAATGTGTTTTATGTTTGCTTGTCTTTGTTCATATTTCTCCTGTGGTTTGGGTACTGTCATGGTGAGTTTCATCCCGTAATGGCAGGAAAAACTGTTCATTTTAGTATGTGAGTGTGTAGATCATGAGTTTGTTTTGTTCTCACTATTAGGGCTGTGCACGCAGATAGAATCTGAAACACATAACCTGTGAAAATAAAGAAGAAAGAACACTATTCTGATGTAAAAGTGGGCATACAGGTTTATCTTGCAGTAAACTCATCAGATAACCAAAACAAAAAAAGCCCCACAGGCCATAATTATTTCAGTTTTACATCACTAAAGTCTGCAGGCTTTAGGCTAGATACTGTTAATCCCATTCAAAGTCTTATTTTTCATGGTAGAGTGCTTAACCTCCCCCACCCCCATCCCCTGAAGTGAGGTTGAGCAGCATGTGACTGCCTCTACAAAAAAGAGGTGGGGGTAATGGGCGAGGATTTAAGCCAAGAATTCATAACATTTCTGGTTAATTTTTTGGTCTTGGTCTAACGTGAAAGATTGCTGTAATGTGGTCCCTGGAAATCATTTGTTTTCTTCTGTGTTTTGTACCCAGTTATCAACAGTTCCCCCGCTTGTGCGCAACTCAGGAAGCCCTGCGCACCAAGGAGTGCTGCCCGCCTTGGGAAGGAGACGGCTCGGCCTGCGGTGCCAGCTCGGGCCGGGGCACCTGCGAGGATGTGGTGGTCTCTGCGCACCCCGACGGGCCGCAGTACCCCTTCTCGGGATTGGACGACAGAGAGAAGTGGCCCTTGGTTTTCTACAACCGCACATGCCAGTGTACTGACAACTTTATGGGTTTTAACTGCGGGGACTGCATGTTTGGCTACTTTGGTGAGAACTGTAATGAGAGGAGAGAGTCTCTGAGGAGGAATATATTTCACCTGTCCAGGGCGGAAAGACTCAAACTCGTGTCCTACTTGAACCTGGCCAAGCAGACAATTAGCAGGGACTATGTTGTGGCGACGGGAACCTACAGGGAGATGCAAAACGGAACCAACCCGATGTTTGCCCAAGTGTCTGTGTATGACGTGTTTGTGTGGATGCATTACTACGTGTCCCGGAATGCGCTCTTAGGCGGGCCGGGGAATGTGTGGACCGATGTGGACTTTGGACACTGGGCGCCCGCATTTCTCCCGTGGCACCGAGCATACTTGTTGCACTGGGAGCACGAGATCAGGAAGCTGACTGGAGACACGAGTTTCACCATCCCGTACTGGGACTGGAGGGATGCCCAGGGCTGTGACGTGTGCACAGACGAGCTGATGGGGGACCGGAGCACACAGGATCCCAGTCTTATCAGCCCCGGCTCGGTCTTCTCATCCTGGACGGTAAACGCGTTCACTTGCTCTCACTTAATTAAGGACGAGACAACCTTTCTTTACGCATACGGCAATTTTTTTAAACGTAAAATATACAATAATCAACTATACAACAACTGCAATAATACAATACTGCTTTTGCAGTCAGCTTTTGGTCTCATACAGTCAACTCGGAGCAGGACTATTTTCAAAGTGTTCTAATTTCAAACACATTTTCTTTGCATGCTCTGTACTGTTTACTGTCTGTCTGCATCCACAGGTCCTGTGCTCCCAAGCCCAGGACTACAGTGCCAAAGGTGTGCTGTGCGATGCTACAGAAGAAGGGCCCCTGCGTCGTAACCCTGGAAACCACAATCGCAATTTAGTGGAACGACTACCAACTTCAGATGATGTGGAGTTCACGCTGAGTCTGACCAACTATGACACCGGACCAATGGACCGCAGTGCCAACATGAGCTTCAGAAACACTCTGGAAGGTCAGATAAGCCTGACCACATACACAAACCCAGACTGCAATTTACCTCTCTGCACTCCTATTTTTCACTATCACTCACAGTCTTTGCTTTTACTGCGTTATTTTGATTCTCTGCCTGTCTCTGGGCACCTGAAATGTGTAGGCTGCCCTCGATTTCTTTGGTTATTTGCAGTTCATTTTGAGGCCTTTGAACTGATTTTTGCACATACAGCGAAAATGAACTTTGATTAAAATTAACCTCAAATTGGGGTCTCCAGTGTTAAAATTCACTCAGTAAAATGCATCACAAACCCCCCCCCAAAAAACTAGTGTTTCTTGGGTTTACTAACATATAATACCTGTGTAGGATTAAAGTACCTTCAGGATTACAGCAGTGTATTTCCACAAATTCAGCTGTCATAGAAAGAAAGGGACTAATCGATAAACATTTACAGAAATGTGACAAAATAAAGGACAAGTTTATCAGGTTGTTCGGACATGATGTTCCACCCAAACTGCATCAGTAACTTTGACTGTAAAAGCATCTTGAACCCTACTAGAAGGGATGGAAAGATATTCCCTTAATGAGCGTTTATGGTGATAACATAAAGCTCTGTCTAGCAGATTGGTCCAAAATCCTCAATAGCTGTGCAGTTGTGTTAAGATCTGTTCCCTGCAAGGGCCACACCATATGATTTACATCATTTTCATACGTGCCAAACTAGTCAGTGAGCCCACATAGATCATGGAGAGTGCATTGTCATCCTCTCTTTTAAAATGTTTCATGGAAAGTGATAACTCAGAACAGTTTATCACTGTTTTGCAGTGATCCTTCCTCTTAAGGAGACAAGTGGATAGACAAACAGATCCACTCTATCCCCTTACTAAAGGGCTTAAGGTTTAAAATTTATCTGTAAATTTCCTTTGACTGGAGCTGTATAGCTATATAGCTATAGCTACATTTTCAGACTTCTGCATTGAAGTGACATGACTTATGTAAATAAAAACAGAGTTTAATTTTGTGTAACATCAAAAACCCAACTACATGCTACTATGTTTGTCAAGCTGATGAGACACTTTTCATTTTATAGGATTTGGAGACCCTCGGACGGGGCTGGGAAACAGTTCTCGTTTGGGCATGCATGCTGCTCTACACGTGTACATGAACGGATCCATGTCTTCAGTGCAGGGCTCCGCGAACGATCCCATATTTCTGCTTCATCATGCGTTTGTTGACTGGTGAGAGACAGAAACACCTTAAAAACACAGAAAACCGTACATTTGCACTCAATGCTTGAACTTAACACTGGTACTGTATTTGTTTTTGTCCCTGTTAGCCTTTATGAGCAGTGGCTCAGGAGGCACAGACCATCTCCATCCCAGTATCCGGAGTCAAATGCTCCTATAGGGCACAACAGCGAATACCACATGGCACCAATCCTACCTCTGCACAGGAACAGAGACTTCTTCATTTCCAGCAAAGACCTGGGATATGAATACACCCACCTGCTAGATGCTAGTGAGTTACCCTATGATCGCCTATGCCAGTCCCTTCTTCTTCTTATTCTTCTCGTCTCCACTCATTGAATTTTGCCCTTAGGGGCTTAGGTCATTTACTTATCTTGGTTTATTGAAACCTAAAAAGTAAACTCTACTGTTTTGCCTACTTTGACATAACCAGCTATGTCCTCTTTGCAGGTCAAAAGCTAGCAGAATCATTGCACCCTTCCCTCGACGAGTTGCGGGACATGTGGCCGTGGCTGCTTCTTGCAGGGCTTTGTGGAGGAATTTTGACAATAGCCATAGCTGCTACGGTCCTAACTACAAAACGATGGTACAAAGGATCATCCTGGTTGCGTGCTAGAAGCTGGAAACATGCATTTGCTCTCCCTGAAAGACAACCACTTATCCGGAGCAATGAAATAGAGGAAACCAACCAACATAACTACCAAACAACTATGTGAAGGCAAAGCCTGTCTAGCTTAGCCTTATCGATCTATGAATTTTAATATAAAAGCACAGTGAATTTTTACTTTGAACTATATGCTAACTAAAAACAACTTCTATGATATCTGATATTTCCAATATATTTAACTGTATTACAAGTGGGAATAAAAACCTGTGCATGCAGTAACTTTCAAAAATGGATTATGGGCAATGTTAAGCTTTAAACATGTTCCTCCTACAACTGGTATCTTGTCAAACTCTACCAAGAAGATCATTTCTGACATGGTCTTTACAACGTTTATGGATTTTTTCAAGGGACTGTTCCACAGTGACTCGTCACATTTATTCTCTAGATTTCATACAGTTTAGTTGATTACCTTGAAAATCAGGTCTGGAGTGTGTTGCATCAGCCATATATACACAAACATTTATTATGGTTTATTAAAAGCATGTCATGTGCATATATACACAACTGCAATTCAGAGTAAAGAGAAAAGTGTTTCATCAGAGCCTTTTTTTTTCCTTGTTATGTTTATGTGGGAGTTGACTGAACCACATTTTGATTAATGTTTGAATTGATTCATGTTTGTAATGTGAAAAATGTTTTTTGGAAGAGAGAGAGAAAAAGTTTTATCTGCTTAAAAGTGAAGAACCGAGACTTCAACAGCAACGGGATTAGGTTCAGATTTCTAACCTATGACGAATGCAATAGATTAAAAAAAACACAGTGACATTTGTAACAGTCCTTGCAATTCCAAAAGTCGATGCAGTTCAAAAGCTTCTTTTGAAAGGTCACACCTACTTTTATCTAAAAAAAAAAAAAGCATTCAGCTTCCCATACTCGTTCACTCATGAAAGTGTGAGATTAAAACAAAACCCTGTTCTGCATATGTTATACACCCATACGCCAATTTATTAGGTACACCTATTCAGTTTCTTGGCAACGCTAATATCTAATCAGCCAATCACATGGCAGCATATCAACGCATTTGCGGATGTAGAAATTGGTCAAGATGTCCCGTTTGAAGTTCACAGCGTGCATCAGAAATGGGTGGAAGGAGACATGAGTTTAAATCATCTGTGTGAAACAGAAATATGCTTTTGTTCTGTAGCTTTGAGACTGAATGTACACTTGCTGACCACTTAAATAAGGTACATCTCTTTATTTATTTATATTATGCATTTAGGCATTTAGACATAGCAAAGGTGACCTGCTGAAGTTCAAACTGAGCATCTGAATGGTGAAGAAAGGTGAAATAAGGATTAAATGACTTTGAATGTGTCATGGTTGATGGTGCCAGACATGCTGATGTGAGTGTTTCTGAAACTGCTGATCTACTGGGATTTTCCCTGCACAACCATCTCTAGGCTTTCCGATGCTTTCAGACAATGGTTGGGAAAAAGAAAATGAGTTCCAGTGAGCTTTGCTAAAAAATGCCTTGCTGACATCAGAGGTCAAAGGAAAAGACTAGTTCAAGCTATTAGGAAGGTAACAGCAATTTAAATAACTATATTACAAAACAGGGTATGCAGAAGGGCACTGCTGAATGCACACGTTAAACCTTAAAGCAGATGGGCTACAGCAGAATAGAATAGAATAGCCTTTATTGTCATTGTACAGAGTACAACGAAATTGGAGTGCCACTCCCTTGATGCAAGTTTCAATAATAAATATAAATGTAAAATATAAAAAGTACAATAAAACAATCGCAAGTACTCAAACAATAATAAGTACGATATATACAGGATAGCGGCATTAATATAATGACAGTATGAATAGCAGCATAATACAGTATAGCTAAGCAGGTTCAATTGTTTTTGTGCTTATTTACTACGGTGATAGCTCTGGGAAAGAAGCTATCCCTGAATCTGCTTGTCCTGGTTTGATGTGACCTGTACCGTCGGCCTGACGGTAATAGTTCAAACAGTTGATTGCTGGGGTGAGAGTGGTCCTTGATGATATTGCCAGCTCTGCTGAGGTACCGAGAGTTTGCAGTGACCTCCAGGCTGGGCAGAGAGCAGCCAGTG